CCCCAAAACCCCAAAACCCCAAAACCCCTTAAGCTAATTTTAATGCTTCTAAAAAAGAATATAAAATAGGCTTAATAATTTTAATTAAAAATTCATTCATTTACATTTTTAGGTTGTTACTCCATTTCAAATTTCTTCCCACATGACTTGCTAGTGTATGTATTACTTAGATGAATGACAAGATTTTTCCTATAGTTAGGATGTACATTTTTACCAAGTACTGCATCTATTTTGGCATCGATTATGTCAGCTAATTCACTAAGGTCTTCTACATCTTAAGCTGAGTAACTAACGAAATCTGGATCAATGGGTCTTGTCACAAAGTATTTTTTGCATTCTGTATAGTTATCAAAGACCTTCTTAAATTTATCTTTTAATGAGTTTACTCCATGAGTGACTTCATGCTTACCCAGAACATCGTTTAGTCCAGGGGTGACAACTTATTTCAATTCAAACAGCTTTTTATTTTTATGCATCTCCATTAGTTAGAATAAAGTCATATGCATAGCTTATGCATCATAGAAATTTTATATGCCTACTCCAATAATGAAATGCAGAGCTTCTAAGTCTCTCTTACCATCGAAGAAGACCTTTCTAATGCTGGGATTAAGGAATACACATTTCAACACCTAGATGGTAAGCTAAAGCAGTTATTCATCATTTTGTAGTTGCGTTAATTGATACATGTCAAAAATATAGATAACATCCTCACACGCAATCTAAATCAAATTTATGTTTCCGTTAGCTCTCAATCTGCCTTCTAGATCTACTCCTAGTGATGTTTATTTAGACATTGTCTTTAAGCTTAATAAGAGAGAGGCATAATTATTGACTATTAATATTCTCTGATTGTCATGATAGGTCAAAGTTTCAAACTCCCCATATGCTCTAAATGCTGAATCTAAGAGTTCTTCCAATATTAGAGCATTTGGTGGTTCTTCTTTGCAGAGGGAGCAGTGCTCCATTTTATAATCGAATGATTTTATTTCTTCTACCTTTGTCTGAACGATGCTTCCAATTTGTTCAGGATTTTAATCAGTATTTAAAGAGAGCTGATCTTCTGTATAATTACCTGGACATATAACATAGTTTCCAGTGCCGATTTTAATTAGTCTGTAACCATACTTTATGTAGCATTCCATTATAATTTTATCAAATTCATCGTTATTCTTAATGCCTGTAAGATACTTTGTCGCTAAATGTCCATATAGTTGGCCTTGCTCGCAAATAGTATTTATGACTAATTTCTTATCTAAATCTTTGTCTATAGATTCTCTTATTATCAAAGATTGGTGGGAGAATGGCATGAACATATGAAGCTCATCTTCCTAAATTTTCTCTAGAATCTACTTAGCCCAGTCTTAATCATTGTATTTCTCACATAAATGGTTAACAACTTCATTTCTAATGTTAGCTCTGGCTTCCAAGACTTTATAAAAGAATGTGTCCATATCAACATCTAGATGCTTAGTAACCACAAACAATGGAGGATCTGAGATTTTTTATTAAAGATTGTACTCTTTCTGAATATCTGCTAATCTTATTGGCAGTTTGAATTTATTCAGTTCTTTATCAATTTTAGCTTGAATTATACTGGAAATTAAAGCTTCAACTCTCTTCAAACAAGTTTCTTTATCATGCAAGGGCAAAAGGAGAACTACTTTCTTTGAAGGAGCCCAAGGGGGAAAATTACTCTTTTTTTCAAAGTAAAGCTTAAATGATGCAATTCTTGCCCATGTAATAGGAACTCCAGATTCATTGTATTTTCTAATTACAGTAGACCTTAGCATGTATTCTTTGTCAGATTCTTTGAATAATTTGGTTAAGAATGATGCCATAATCTTATTTTGCCATGGCCTCACAATTTCTAATTCTGCTTTTGTTCTTGGCTTCCTCTTAACATTATTGATTGAGCTATCTTGTAACAATATCATTTCAAACTTATGCAAGTCTTGCTTATTATATATCCATTCCAAAAATTTACACTCATCTAAGTTTAAGTTCTAGACACTCTTTTTTATAGATTTGAATTCATCCTTTATTTCCTCATTATTGCCTCCTTCTTCAACTTCTTCTTCATCATCTTACTCAACAGCGTTGTTTTCAATAGTATTTATCTCACCTTTCTCCTATGCTAACTTCTACCTCAATTTTCTTATTTCAGTAACCTTATAGTGTTCAAATCTTCTCGACTTGCCATTATAAAGAATATGAAACTTCAATTTATTCAACAGTACTTTGATATTGAACTGTTCTTTTTTAAGTTAGAGCAATTCATCAGAATCCATTCGAACAAGTTCACTCAGACCATGAGCATTCTGACACTTTTCGGCACTGCTTAAACATCTTTGTCTGAAATAAAAGTTACACAGCGTTGTTTTTCTTAGCTTCTACTCTATTATTCTCTGCCTTGTATTAAGTTATGCTTTCTACTCAATACTTAGTTAATCCAATGAAATAGGATAATCTAAATTGATATCGAAATTCATTTCCATTGAGAGTTTATTATATCTTTTTTAATGACTTAACTATAATTTATTTTTATACAATTTATATAATTCTAATCCAATCGATTAGTATTCAATAGGGGTTTTGGGGTTTTGGGGTTTTGGGGTTTTGGGG